AAAAGTTACTTTATAAAACCAGAGCAGTGACTGAGTTGTCCTACCATCGACTAAATATACGTTTATGCTTTATTCCTGTTCCTAACAATTTCTAACTTTGCTTACTTAGACTACCTGTGGCGAAGTTATTTCTCTTTCACATTGCATGAAAACTCTCAGTTCATTGTTATTCAATCCGATCAATTAATCCAATACATGCATTATGAAGAATTCTTAGATCGATATTAGGAAGAAGGAGCTTTTTTGATTGAATATTTTATCAAAATTATATTTCATCCACTTGACCAAATAAATTATTTCTGGTACGTTATTTTTATAGTGTGGCTCGATAGTTATGATGCCTCTAGAGGTTACCTTGGACAGTTATTCGATTCTGAAGGTTTTTAGAGCCTTATGGTTTCTTGTTAACTTTTGTGTTTATTTTTTTCATACCTTTCAGACATGGCTGTTTTTATCAATGTTGACTTGCCACCTATGACATAAACATATGGATTGAAAATTCATTGCACTGAGCTATCTGCACTTCATTTCATGATACTGCATTGCAAGTATAGAACTATAAAGTGAGAAAGTATGAAAGTGATGATTTGATGACCAATAAAACAGAATAAAAGGCAAAAGGCTAAAGTTTTAGAAAAAGAAAAATGTTAAAGTGTCACATTGAAGGTGATTTTTGTCTATTGCTGTCGGTTTATTCATTATAAATAAACGCAAAATCTCACATATTGTCAAATATATTTTTTGTAGATTTTGCATTTTTTCTAAATTTTTGAACAGTTCATTTTATCCCAAACTTTCCTAACTTTGTAATTTTCCTCAATTTTGAAGAGAGATCTTTCGTTTGCAGCAATTTTCTTGAGCTTCAATGAATGAGCCAAAATTTATTACAAGTACTTGTTGAAGTAGGATTGAAACTTTTTCATCAAAAATTTAATGATGAACTAGCAAATATGACCAAGTTATAAACACCACTATCATCATATGAGCTATTACAGGAGATTAATCATGTAAAATACAAACTAAGCAAAATTGGAAGGCCCAATGGAGCTGAAATTTCCTGAATAAGAACTTGAAACTTTAAGTTATGCTTTTTAAATTTTCAGCTTTTGCTTGGTTTTTCAAATTAAACGTGCTAGATTTCTGAATTTTAGTTCATTCTTTTTTCCAGCTGTTTAATGGATAATAACAAGATTTAAAACGATTTAGTTATCTGCTGTGATGTTTGGTAGGGTATTTTAAACCTCCTCAAAGTAAGGAATGATAAATTAATTAGCAAAACTAGCTTAGGTAATATACAAGAAGTTATAGATTCAAATGGCCAAGATGTTTAGGAAAAAGGAAATCATTAAAAACTGATTGAACAGGTACTGCCCTTAATTATGCACTCTATTTTTCGAAAGAAAATGACATCACCGTAAGTTGCTATTTGGATAGAAGTATTGAATGCTACCGATAAAAGGAATATTTCGCCCTTTACTAAAGAAGCAAATTTTTGTATAGCTTTTTCACTTTTCATTATTTATGACCTATTTTTAATTAATTAATTATTAGTGATCAGCGAACATGAAAAGGAGCCAACTGTCAGCTTAATTAAATTAGGTGATGAATAAAAATTCAAATAAAAGTTTCAACCACTATCGACTAATGAAAAATTTATGTTCATACTGTATGCAGTTGAAATGAAATACCCAGCGAATCTCGAGTTTATTAAAACAGGTTTTATTCCTTCCTTGTTCTGTAAAGCAAATGCTAAAGATCGCCAATAAATTCCATTTTCTTTCAGTTGTAAAGTTGAAATTTTTCCTTTTGTGCATTATCTGATATATAATCATTTACTTACCCCATTCCTTCCTCTATTATACAACTAAACATAAAACAATCACTATGGTAAGCATAGTGATTACTCTCCTACTAACTTTTCTTGTCAAAACAGCAACTATGTCAGCATTACAGTGTATGTGTGTGTGTGAAATGTCACATATTCTAAACTGAATGCCATCTTCAACACCACGTAAGAAGAAATTGGTACTGGAATATCCAAAAATACTACTAAACTCTATATTTAGTGTTTAGCTTATTGTATTCAAAAAACTTTTTAAGCTATCTGAAGTGAAGCTAACAATACTTATATTTACCATTTGGATAAATAAAAAAAAAATAGCATTAAGTTGGATAAAATAAAAAATGGATCCCTTATATTTATTTCCCTTTTGTTTATACATTGATTTTTTTCTTTTTTAACATTTTCATTAATAATGTTCTTTGATCTAAACCGTTTTTTGGGTCATCTAGAATAATCGACTCCGTAAAGGTCAAACTGGTAGCGGTCGAACTATTGCCATGATCTACAACATAATGTTATCTTGATGACGATAATTAACACAATTATTTGTATTTCTGAAGTGACAAGCTGACTGGATAATTAAATAATCTTTTCAATTTCTTTCTTTTGTTAGAGGGAATCGGTGTTTCAGGAATTTTACGCTTCAACTTAAAAGCTCTTTCAAGAACTTTCTGAAAATTTTTGAAACTGAAATACTAAGTTTATTTTATTTCCCAAAAAGATTCGTTATCTTTTTAACGTTTTAGTGATAATTTCCAGGCCGTTTGCAATTTCCCTGTCGTCCTACTAGATGATAAGGTGGACAATTCCGAAGCTCCTGGAAGAATATAGATTTATGTAATATCCTGCTAACCTATGTTTGCAAAATAATGACAAGCAACTGCACCTTGACCTCAAAGGAAGTAAGATGTCACAGTTAGCTCTTATAAATCTCTTCATTAAATATTTCCAGATTATCATGAACGAAACGTTGAATTTCCGTAGAAAGGGTTCAAGCAATGTTGTGTGAGAGAGTGAGAAATGTGATTTCGAAGCAAGTTTGCAAAAAGCTCCACCACCTTCGATTACTTTTAAAAATCTCGAGAAATGCTTTGCAAGTAGGGAAGAGAGAACATCATTTGTTGATTTACATAAATCTATTAATTGCTGATGTCCAAGCGGTTGAATACTAGTTCACGGTATGGTTCTTATACGTTGGAGAAGGGAAAGTCGGTCGTTTGCAAGAAATGGTTGATAAGAGAAGAGAGAAAAATGGGTAAGCTGTGGGCGAAACGGTCGGTTTCGATGACATTACACAACTTTGTCGACTTCCCAGTTTGCCATAATCGAGCAGTAGTCGGTGGGTTATTGTACCTGTAAATGTCGTAAGTCCCCTAAAAAGACGATTTATCTTTCCTCTGAATGGGTAATTTTCTCTGTTAACTTATTTATTCCTTTATATTTTAAGTCTTTAAGTTAGAAATTAAGTGAAGGAATAAGCGAAGATGTTGATATAAGAGTAATTCAAAATTTTTGAATGAAGCATAAATCTTCAGCATCTAGTTCGTTTTACGCCTGTGTACTTAATACAAATTATCGCTAAGCGTTCTTCGACTACATTTTTTTCAAATGATATTGAAAGGATTTGAAGTTGTGAACATAAAAAACATTGTGAACAGTCAAGTTTTCTTAAAGTTAATTTCTTGCAATTGTGCAAAATTTGTAAGATAATAAATATCATATCTTTTCCTCCGTTCAACTCTTTTGTTTCTGTTAGTTCAGTTGTTCACCTCCGCTTATTTGTGGTGTGGTTATTATGATGTATTTGTATCACTGTTTGCCATCTAAATTTAAATACAAACCGGAACAGCTTGAGCACTCTTTCCTAATATTCTTTCTTAAAGCGCTGATGATGGACTAAATTCTGTTGAAAGTGCTAGGATAAACGAAATGCTTATGAATGGGACACGATGCTGTCATCCAAGTAGGACATTTTTTTAAAGGAGAAAGCTACCTTCTCGAAAAATGTTTGTTGTTTGAATCATTTCTTCTTTATAAATTTATCACCAGATATCATGAAATCGCTAATGATAACAATTATTGGCAGTTATATCGTATTCGATAATTTTATGTAGCATATGTGTAAATCTTGAAATAACTAACGTATGAATTAATTACAGAACTAATAGCAATTGTTCATGTCATAGTGGCAGGATCTTTGCTCCCTTAATGATGTGTAGAGGAAATAATGAAAACTGATAGGAATAAAAATCATTGCACTTTCTGCATTTAAGTCACTAAACTAATGCTTGCTTATCAGTTCATTGAAACAATTTTATTTTATTTCAATTCAATTCCAAATGACTCACCATCTCTTACCAGTAAAATGTAAAAGTAAAAGCTTTCAATAACTGATAATATAAATTTCTTATGTCTTGCACTTTTTTGAAGCTTTAATAAAAAACAAATTATGATTCGTGATCTTTAAAAATATTTAACTATTGCTTCGAGGCATGCACGGCCGAGACGGTAAAAGATTAGGGAAAAGTGTCATATTCAACGTTTCTAGTAATGATCCTTATTGATAATGCAGTACCAACTTGATTGACAATTTGGGCCAAGCAGAAAATTGATTTATTAATCTTCATTTACAATATAATCATGCAATGAAATCGAAAAGCATAATATTAAACTTGCGATAAACACAAAAGTGTCATTTGATTTTTTTCATCTTTTCAAAGATCCGCTTATATTATTACACAAAAGAATTGTTTTAAAAAAAAGTTTGTTTCATGGTCTTTTTAAAAGTCAATTGCTTTTTTGATTAATTTATCTTTATTTTTGTTAACGAAAGAAGCAATTGGGCGTCGCTGTCATCTCGCAAGTATTACATGCAGAGAGAAATAAGCAAAATAATATTTAAATTGGAAGAAATGTTAATGATAGAAGATTGCTAAATAGACCAAGTTATACTGTATCTGTAGGGTTGCAAAGATTACCATATGATGAACAATTTTAAGTTATAGTGGCGTGATACCATTTAGCAGTATCATTTCGCTAATTAAAAATGTAATGTTTTCACCTTCCACAGGTGATATGTGATTAGCCAAGTTTTTGATTAGAATAAAAGCCTAGCAGAATTCAGGGTTATCAAGCAATAGCAGCAACAACGGAAACAATGACAAAACGTCGTAGTAGTCAACCAGATATTCGCAATAGAACAGATAGTCAGTCCAGTTTAATGCGCCGGAGAAGCATCACGGAAACGTACCCAAGACCTTCTGTTTTTGGAGGACGTACGTGTTAAGTTGATTACTTATTCCTGTTCCTTATTTATTTTTCTATTAGTTTTATTTATTTGGTGATCGACTACTCTTTATTTCATATATTAGCAAGTAGAATATGGTTACTCTGAAGTATATAAGCATATATAATTATATCGCTTGGAACAGATGTCATAATTTGATATTTAAAACGTTGCTTTCAAGTTACTGAATTAGTTCAATTTGGTCTTAATTCATTTGTAATTAATTTATTGCAGAGCAAAAAACAAGAGGCTGATTTACTTCAACATGCATTCAAATTAAAATTTCAATTTTTTTATCAGCCTTCTAATGACAATAGTCAGATATTCTTTACAGATGACTTGTTACTCGATCCTCTTTTCACTGTTCAACCTATGCAAGTGGGAAATCATCCGGAGAGTGAGCTTCTTTCCTTTTCGAAAGAGCAAGATATTGTGAAGTTTCCTTTTAAGTCTACTGACACGAACAAGAAATATCGTATTGTCATTTCATACGGGCACAAAGCAATTTATTTTTTTTTTTTTGAGCTCAAAGTGCTGAAGCTTGTCTATTCTTCATCTACAATTGTCTCTTTTTATATCAACAAAAACTTTAGTTCCCAAGAAATTTTGTATTTTTTATTTGTAAAAGTGCAAATAATTTCAACGAGCTATGATTAAAGAAAAAAAATTGAGAAACTGTTTGGGTTTCCAAGTTTCTAGGTCCAATACACAATGTTCGGGAACTTTTGGAAGCGCATTTAGAGGAAACTCCATTAATTTATACCGAAATGTTGGATTTAGATAAGGATGATAAAGCCAGAAGACAATGGAAACAAGTTGCCAGGTTAAGTTGTATTTGAAACTTTGTTCAAAAGAAAAACTTTTTTTAAATAGTTTTTTTTATCAATTAAAAATAAAGCAGCCTCACTTATTAAGTAGCTATCATTGCAAGCCTTTTATGAAAATGGTAAATTAATTATGATTTATTTTAACTGTACTAAACATTAGTCATGAATTTACTGTATTATGAATTAACTCTTCAACATATATCATATTCAGGCAATATATCATAATCTACTGGAATTCAATTAAATTTTTAGATGGATTAAGTATGAGCAGACAATTGAAGGCGATGGTACTCGATTTTCCAAGCCACACATCACTCTTTTGTCGATAATTGGTTTGATACAACTAAAAAATTGTCTTCGTAAAGGAGTTATTATGTTGGATATTGAAGCACATTCTTTTAACGAAATTGCAGGTATTTGTTTTGCTACTTTGAAATTCCATCTTGTATTTTAGTATCTATTTATGAGTAATTAAATTTTCAGAAATAAAAATATTTTGATAAAAATATTACGAGAGTAAAGAAACATTAAAATACCGAATAATACCGCCTGAATTTTTTAATCTCAATCTTCAAATGTCTTTAATCCTTCATTTTCCGACAAAATATGCGCTGCATGGATGGAACGTGGATTAGTGGAAGCAGAAAATTTATCTTCTGTAAAAGATTTATTGCTATGCCCGAAATATCACCTTATTGGTACACGTATGCTTTCATCTACTGAAATCAGAAACGGTTTGAATTGTTGATTTTAATGAAGGTCTCAAATTATTTCTGCTAAGTACTAGCAAACAGTGATATTTTATTTATGCTAATTAATGAATATTGACTTAATTGATTTAAAAAAGCAACTAATTTAGCATTCAGATGTGAAAACTGTTATCAAAAAAGTACCAAGTGAAGGTGCCGAGAATGATTTGCAGGAAGAAAATATTCTTGATGTATGTCTTTTTCGTTTTATTTCATGTCGATTAAAGTCAGAAATAGACGAAATCATCGACCATTCTTTTATCTGCTTTCTATTTCAAGTAATTCTAAATGTTGTAATGGAAAATTAGTAAAAAAGAAAAAAAAAAAACTGTATTCTAATCAGAGATTAGCGTACACTTTTACCAAACGTTTATTTTGAACTTTCTTACAGTTAACATCTAAAGAGATGAGAAAATTAGCAGAAGGTACAGAAGGAGCAGTTATTATGGCTGGAATATTTAATGGTATTGACCGACCGGTATGCGCATTCCTTCGACTCGACAGAGCTAAGGTTTTGTTTCTTCTTTCGATTCATATTAGATTTTTTGAATTCGATTTAATGTTCGAACAAATTGCAGGTTTTTTTCCCAGAATTGCCGAATGTACCGATACCTCTAAGATTCGTATTTGTATTGCTCAATCCTCATGATCATTACGACAATGAAACACGTGGCATTGGTAGAACTGTAGGCGCACTACTTTCGGATGAGGTACCATTTTCAGAAAGTAATTTCAATAATTTCAGGCAGTACGAGGGTTAGTGAGATGAAAAATTGTGCTTAACGGATTTGATATCAAATAATCTTTAGTTTGCATAATCAGCCATTTTAATTGGAATTGCAGAGTTCTAAGAAAATAAAAGTGTTACATTTCTATTGGCTATTCATATTTGCAGATATTTAGGAAGGTAGCGCTATGCTCACTTGAACCGTATACTATCGTTGATGCACTGGAAGAATTTTTTGCACAAGTAGTTGTTATCCCACCTGGAAACTGCAGTATAGAAACTCGATGGGAACCGAATGCTAACTCAGATCAGGTTTGTCTGAAGTTTAAAATTTTTAGAACTGAAAATTTTAAGTCATTAGAAACTATTTAATCATTCCTTATGTGCAGTACACCCCAAAATTTAGGTAGCTCGCTCGGTTGGAATGCTCTATGCTTCATATGATGATCCATTTGATGGAGAACCAGTTTTGGATGGTAAAAAAGATACACATACCGACATCGTTCGTAGCGGTCATTTATTTGGCGGCTTGTGTGATGATATCAAGTAGGTCTTTCCACAATTCAGCAATTATATTTTACTGATAACTCCATTGTGTGTTATGGTTGTTATCATAATTAATTTGGACAGTAAAAATTAAAAACTAATTGCTAATTTGTCTCAGATTTCATTAATTATTGTTGCACAATTTGAAGATGTATTATAATTTGAAGATATTTAGACGTAAAGCACCACACTTCGTATCCGACTTCACTGATTTCTTCCATGGCCGGTGGAGTCAGTCCTTTGCGGCAGTTATATTTTTATTTTTTGCAAACATTACATCAATCATAACATTTGGTGCTGTCATGGAACGAGCATTGCATCATCAAGTTGTACGGATATCTTTGCATTGATTTTAGAATAAGTTTGGAATCATACGAATAATCTGAATAATAAGAACAATGTGACATGTGACAACATTATTTACACTTTTAAAATACTACATGAAGAAATAAGAGAAAGCGAAATAAAAAAGAATAGTCAAAAATTTTATTGGAATTAATACTAAAAATCATTGAAGAGTTACAGAAATGAGTTGGACTTTTTTACTACTACATAAAACAACTTCTCTAATTTAACGTTTAGTTTTGATTCGTTTTAGGCGGCTATCGAGAATATTCTCTGCGGAGGTATCAGTGGAGTCATATTTGCTCTGTTTTCTGGACAACCGCTCAATATTCTGTCCGCAACTGGTCCAACACTTGTTTTTGAAACAATTTTGTTCGATTTTTGTTTGTAAGTAATGTACCTTAATTTTTCTTCAGTTAATGAATAACTTGCTTACTAAGAATTTCAACTACGCTTGTAAAAGTTTTTTTTCTTCAGAACAAACGGTTGGCAATTTTTACCATTTCGGTTTTGGGTTGCTGCGTGGATTAGTGTGGTATTACTTATTTTGGTTGCTACCGACATGTCCGCCCTTGTTGGTCTAATTACCAGGTGTCCAACATTGTTCTTTTTCTTTCTTAAATTAACGGCAGGGACGACATTTCTTTATGGATCTCATAGTGTCATAAATAGGAATTTCTACAGCAGTTATGGCACCAAGAGAAGATTTCGTCTGCTGCTCATTACTTCACATCCATCCAGTCATACACTCTCCTCTTTTTTCCGAAATTATATTTTAGAAGACGGAAAATGAGATTTATAAAGAATGCATTCCAGATTTACGGAAGAGGCATTTGCTGCATTGATATCAATTGTCTTTATAATCCAGTCTTTTGAAAAACTTATTGAAATTAGTCACGATGCGCCAATCATTGTTGATCCCAAGGTTCATTTCAATAATTTTACCTTATGCCTATTTAAAAATTTTTGGAGAAAATCCTTTCTTTTTTGAGTTTATATTTGTCCCCAAATTATTTCTAGAATCAAACTTCTTTCGTTTCATTTTTTGGAATTTATTATGTTTAATAGAGAGTATTTGATTCACCGTGCGTTTGTTATCTCAATGAGCCAATGGTACTTTCAAATAACATTACTGTGCGACCAAGGATCATGGATATTGATGCTGAGGGTTTGCATTGCTTTTGTAAGAATAAAGGGTTATTGAAATTAACTTTTTCTTTGCATTCCCTTTTCCCAGTATTTTCGGATTTTAGGCAAATCTTTTGGAAAGCAGCCACGAAATGGATGCTTTAATGTGTTTGTTTTTGTGCCATTGTGACATTTAATCTAGCGATTAGAACTGATCACAGGTGATACCCTGATAATGATAATGATATTAACCAAATAAAGAAATAATGAGTTAACTAAGCCATTGTAGAATGTCGTCAACGTGGAGGCGAAGCATTTGGGTTACAGTGTCACTTCAAACCAGATGTCTATATGTTATCCATTTTGCTAACCTTTGGTACTTTCGCATTGTCCTATGGCTTAAACATTTTCAGAAGGACACATTTTTTAAATTCCACGGTACATTTTAAACAAAATTTTGAAAATTAAGAAAAAAATCCTGCGGTATTTTTTATCGCTTCTGCTTGTCTTTATTATTTCATCGTTAGATTTTTTGGATAATCTAGGGGTCAGATTCTAGTTCTATGACCTGCCATTTTCTTAAAGCAATATTTTTCTTTTTCTTCTTTTCCTTTTGCAAAGTAGTTTTAGTTTGGCTGAATTTTGGTTTTAATTTATCTGAATATTCAGGACGTTTGAATGTTTAATTAAAAAAATCAATGAGAAACTTATTTCAGGCTCGTAATAGTATATCGGATTTCGGTGTTCTCATCGCTATTGTCGTGATGACAGCTATTTCGAAATTCATAGGTCTTGACCTACCTGTGCTCAATATTCCTGCTAATTTCCGGGTTCGTTCATTTTGTGCGTTTGGAAACTCACTTTATTTATCGTACAAAAGCTGAGAAATTAAAATTGAGAGTCTAAACTATAAAAAATGCTGTCGACCATAAGTAATAGTGTTCTAGCCAACGATTGACCGTCCATGGCTTATCAATCCATTATCAGTAGATTGGTATGTTGCTTTGATAGCTGTATTACCAGCTATATTTTACACAATCCTGATTGTCATGGATCAACAGATCACTGCTGTTATTATCAACCGAAAAGATAACAAACTGAGAGTATGACTTCCCTGAATTGAAATCATTAAAATCGTTTTCGATTTCCTCATCAGAATATGCTGCATGTTGAAGTGGATAATCAAGTTTCTTGACTAACGACTGAACAAGTAAAGCATATAGATGGGGAAGTCGAATTTTAAATGAAAGTTAGGAAAATTTTGTTAGAAAAATTCTTATCCTTTATGGTTGGCAATGAGAATCGAAAGAGTGTCGTAATTAGAGACACCCGGAGCTTATGACAAGTGTCAACGAGCACGAAAACAGGGAAATATTTTTTTTTATAAAAATAGCGACGCAATACAATAGGATAAAAGAGGAAAAACTATAAGTTTACTGAACTCTTAAGGTTTTGTCAATCCATTATTGACTTATTGACTTGTTTTATGAAAGATTATAAGATGTTAAAACTTACCGCAACTATTAAGTTTTGACACTGTAATCATTATTGCTATAAGGATTTCAGAAAGATTTTGGATATCATTTGGATTTGTTAGTGATTGCATTGCTGATAGTCATTTGTGGCTCGCTTGGGTTACCATTTTATGTGGCCGGAACAGTGCTATCAGTAATGCACGTGGATTCGCTTCGTTTACAATCTGATACATCAGCTCCTGGTGAAAAGGCACAATTTCTTGGTGTTAAGTGAGTCATTATTCAAAGTTCCAAATTATTATTTAGAAGATTCTAATTTAAAAAATAGAAAATTCTAAATTAAATCCAAATTTTCAAACAAAAAACTTTTGCACTTTTGCAGAGAACAACGTCTAACAGCAATAATAGCTCATCTGCTTATTGGTTTTTCAGTTTTCATAACACCTGTTATCAAGGTATGATTTTCTGTGGAGCGTCTCCATCAGGAATGTTTTATACGACTTTTTTCTTTGAACTCGTCCGGTCTCAGAAATGAACTAAAAAGTCTTACTCGAATGATTAACTTGCAGTTAGTACCTCTTCCGGTACTTATTGGGATATTTTTATATATGGGTGTTGTTTCGATGCTTGGTTTGCAGTTTATCCAAAGAATTGCCATGCTTTTTATGCCGATCAAATATCAGGTTTGTTGAAAAAAAAATCCGTTTTGATCAAAAATAAATATAAAAAGCGAATCAATGCACGTTGAAGTTTGCAAATTTTTACTTCATAATTTTTTACAGCCTGACTACGTGTGGTTGAGATTGGTTCGTATGAAACGTGTCCATTTGTTCACTTTTTTTCAAATTCTCAGTATTGTTGGTTTGTTTGCTGTGAAGTATACAAAAACATTCTCAATGCTGTTTCCCTTGATGGTATGGCCGCCTTCATCCGCACAATTTATTTTGTCAAAGTTTTTCTAATTATAGGGAAGTGAGGTTTCAGCTGGTTCCAACGGCTTTTGTTGTTTCTATTACTGGCTAAAATCAAGGTCAATCAATCTGGATTAAAAGTATGTTAATTGCTTCTTATAAAGCAATTTATTTTTGATTAATATTGTTTCAGCTGGTTCTAATGGTAATTATTAGGATGTTTTTCATGGAAAAAGTTTTCACGAAGCAGGAATTACTAGCATTGGACGATCCTGTGCCTTCATTCCATTCGGTTATCAGCCCGAAGGGACAATCTATAAAAGGTATTTTCAGTCATGAGCCGAAATACTAGAATTAGCAAACGTTCAAGATTTAGAATTTGTTTCCAAACGGCACTGATTAACGGTTGTCATATTATCAACATTCCAACTGATTTCCCATTTATAAAATATGGTTAATTTTTCAATAACCACAAATTTTTTTTGTTACAGCTAGAAAAGGAACCGTTGGTGACGAAGAAACGGAAAATCCGAGAGAAGCAGAGGAAGGAAAGAAAAAGGCTAGCGGAAATCGATGAATTTTGGTTCATTTTTATTTTGTGTGACGTACAAAAAATCTGCGTGAAGAAATAAATATCACCATTAAGGTGTTCTTAAATAATAGAGTTATTTTCAACTTTTCTGGTTGTTTCTGTATGATAGGGTGAGTCTCCTCTGACACTTTGAATTAACAAATCTTTAGTATCATCCACTTCTCATCATTTATCGAATTAGATTGCTTAAAAACACTGATCAATTTACTTTTGATTGTAATGGAGAATGCACACAGCTTCCGAAAAAGCTGACAGTGTTGTCAAACACAAATTCAAAATAAGATTCACTTATAGATGAAACGATTGTCTTGGTGGCCGTGGAAAGGGCTAGGGAGTTTGAACAGTAAGTTTAAAGCATAAGAAGAATGAGTGAAATATTTGAGGCTTAGAAATGTTTATTAATCATTGTGTCTTTTGTTTAAATATATCATGAACGGTTTATCGAACTTCCTTGTTTATCTCTTTTTGTATATTTTCCCGTATCATACATTCATTCAGCAGTACCAGATAGCGTTTTGTTTTTGCTTTTGTTTTACGTTATGCTTATGCGTGAATTTGATGAGAAATACTGGACTGAAGTGAATGCAAACAATTTATCATTGTGACTCTGCTTTGCTACGAGCGAGAAAGAAGCTTGCATGCTAAGAATTATCTAGCACTTGCAGAATTTTTCTCTTCCACTTAATTAGATAGATTTAGCAAGAAGTTCTTGCTTCCATTGTGGTCCTAATCGTCGAGTTGATGGCTATTCAATTAGCATATTAATTGCCAATTAGGGATTGTTGCTCATTCATTCACTAGTCTTTATTTGTCGATAGATAGCTGTGTTGGTTTCGATAAAGCCATATGTTTGTATAGGAAAATAAATTTCATTACCTTCAAATTACGACGCACTTATAACATATCAGTCCCGTGTAAGATGATATGTTATAAACTTTATTTCACAATTTCATTGCATTTCATTCAATTCTCGAACATCTCCATGAGCTATTACTGTATTATCTAACAATTTGATGATTTTTCCAATGTTTTCGAAAAATTTTCAGCAGCATTTTGAAATTATAAGGATCAGAAATTAATTCGTTTTTGTTTTAATACAGTAAGCTCTATGTCATTCGTCTGCGATCGCATTGTGTACACTGACATTGTGTATCGTAAATGCATCTGTGGAAAGTTGCCTTTGTAAAGCCTTTGCAAATTCTATAAAATAGCTTCTGTCATTTATAAATAACTACGAAATAAATTTAGCTAGACTTCTGGAACTTGGCCAAACCTTTTTAAAAAGTATGATACATACTCTTAGCCAGATGATATCTACTGGCTAAGAATAGCTCGGATCAACGAAGTTAGAAATAGACAATTATACTTGTTTATGAGAATAAAATAGAGATCATTATCAGCGATCTACAAGGTTTAATAAATCCGAAAACATGGACATAAATGCTATAATTTGCAACATCCAGCACAGCCACTCCAGATTTTTCTATTTAAGGCTTTAAATTTCTAAGTTCTGAAATTTGGGCAACAACATGGCAGTTCCATATTTCGCTGAAGGTAGCTAACCCTTTAAGATTGCTCTATATATTTCAGCAAAATGTTGCTGAAATTAAGCTTGTCGTTTTCATTGGTTTTTCAAGCATGCATCGGCGTTAGTTTCCAGTGTCGTGATCAAAAAAACGAGAACGTGGATTGGTATGTTTCCGAAATAAGTTTTATATTGTAGTTCCCCTAACACTTGATCTAACTTTATATCATTCTCTGTGTGGAATTTATTTTTCCAATTAGGTTCATATTTTACAAAATTGGTCGCATAAAGAAATCATCCGCAAAATTTGTTCGTAATGGTTTTGCTTTCTTATATATGGATGCTAAGCGTCAAGAGTGGTCACTTTCGGCAGTTGAGATTGATAACCCGAAGCAAGCTATTGGCCATACTCTACAGCAATATTATGATAGCATAAGTAATCCTGAGGTAATTTCAACATGTCTTCGTGCTTGATATCGATTCAAAAGATTTTGTATCGTAGCCTAGAGGTACTTTTGCTAAGCTACTTTTTTCAGTGCTTATTCATTGTTCACAATTCATGGTACATTACATATATTGGTAATCTCAGGATAGTGCTCAGGTCAGCAAAGAAACTAAGACCATTGACTCATTTCTAAATTATTAGGTAGTGAGATCCTAATGTCACTATTATATGGGTAATGAGGACAAATAGATTAACGCAAATCTAAAGATGCATAACTTCTTGACCAAATACATTGTTATGCAGCAAGTCACCACTTGATTGTTATTACTTTACAGATTTTTAGTATAATGTATAATGATGAATTCCCATATCCCAACAATGACACTTCGTCAGGAACTTCGGGACATACTAAAGGTATGTAACTGTAAAACTGTGAAATAACTTGAGATTTCATTGAACAAAGGACCTTCATTACTCTTCTTGATACTCAATAATATTGCAAATTGATATAGTCGATTGTCAGTTCATTCAGGAAATTTTCCAGGAGTTGTGGTATTTGGAAAAAGCAATGGTTTCTGGTTGATACACAGTGTACCAAAGTTTCCCAGAAATGATACTTATGAATATCCATTCACTGGACGTCATTACGGACAAATGGGATTATGCATTTCAATGTCTTATTCACAATTACATAAAATTGGTAATTTTTACTCTTTAAGGTTCTTGGAAATCCGAATGACTTTATCTCTTTTGCAATGTCGTCAATAAATTTGTTCCCTAGTTTTCAATCAGTGAAAAAAAGAAACTTTCTTTTAATCTTGATGTTTGGATTTTTAAAATATTTAGTGAATGCTTCTTAATTCGACTTTTTTCCAGCTATTCAACTGTATTATAATCATCTTTTCATTTATTCACAAAGGCTTCCAGCGCAAATGGCCGATGACATACCTATTCTTGTGAAAGTTGGTCCAAACATCTCCAAAACAGTAGGAAATGAAAATTTGATCAAAATGTTATGTGTTTTCGGGTTCTTTTTCATCAGTTGGCTTTTGAAAGCAAAACGGATTGCACTTAGTTCCCAATTTGAAGCAAAATTTTTAATCTAGGTGGTATCAAAAGAATATCATCGTGCTGTTCCTTATGTTAGTCGTGTTGTGATGCATTCTTCTGCAGGCCATGAATTTGTTCACTTCGCGAAAACTCGTGCATTCAAGAGAGGCAATAACCTTCATAAATTCATTATTTCCCTATTTATCATATATGTTCTGATATCTTACTCGTAAATCTTAATTCGGGCCACATCTATTTCAACTCGACATCACATTTATTTCAGACCTTTATTTCGATCTCGTGGCACCTGCTCTTAAAAGTTCATTGAAAACAGAAACTTGGCAACATGAAACCTCAAAAAATAGAAATCTCCACTCTTGGTGTCGTAAATACAGTTCTTTTAAGGTATTGATTTAAAAAAAATGTAGCCTTCCTTAGCTGTATTTATAGCGCTTTTCCATCCTTTTGTTTGTTCAAATATCTAAACCAATAAAATTTGTACATAAGTGCTTATGTCTTTTGTGGAATCGACATTGCTGTACTTATTTGCTGGAAAGCTGTACAGGTAGGAAGCTTAGTACTTTATGTTCATATTAGGTTCTAGATGTGAAAAAGGTTACTCTGCCTTTTAATATTACTTTTCCAAACGCGCTTGATCATTCCAAATTTGCTGTTGCCATATTGGATCTTCACAATGTATCTATGCCTTGGATTTGCATTGGTGATATCAATAGACAGGTACGAAGATGCTTTTTCGGTTGTTTGAATACTTTTTAAGAGATAAAGGGAAACTGAAATTTGAGCTTTATCTTCATTGTGTAGAATAAGTAGTCTGAGGACTTACTTATAATTAAGAACAACGACTAAAAGTTAAGTTCTTGACAATTTTCAGGAAAGCCAGTTTCTCCGTGCAGGTGGTACGATGTGTTTCGCCAGTCCTGAAGTGCATTCCGTTTATACTGCTATGGTACCAGACTATTGGCCATGTGTCGGCTATGGTTCCAAAACTCCGATTTTTGTTGATAATGTTTCGCTATAACCTCTTGAAGTGTTAACTATGTTTTAAAATTGGTAAGCGGAAGTTATGATATTAAAAAACATCACATCATTTCCATTTTGTTGCTTATTTATATTTGCTGTAAGATAATTATAATTGATTGTTTGTTATCGTCTGCTATTTCTGCAATGGGTTTTGAGAATAGTAAAGTGGGATTTGGAAGAACAATTGTTATCTAGATCTGCAATATAAAGAAAGTACAAAGAGGTGCTTTCAGTTGCACTCATCGTTGCTCTCTTTTGCCTTGCATGGAAAAATTAGTATATCAAATTTTTTCAGAATTTTCAGAAAATTAGTGGAGTTTGTTGTTGTTGGTGATTTAATGCAAGTTAGATGCAGACAACCATTACTGCTTGAAGAAACGAATGTTTTGAATTGTCTATTCAGATATTTTTGTTCAGCCATTGATATAGTTTGCATTCTATCCTTTGCATTGCAAGAGTTGTGTGCTTCCATGAAAATAATTTTTGTTAACCATTATTTCTCTTTTTCAAGATTTGTTTCGCAGAAAAAAACTGAATTAAAACATGAAATTTATTGCATTTCAACAACATATCCTTTAAAATGAAATAACCAACACTGTTTGATTATGGTTGCAAGATAAAATGTACTTTGGAGACGATTCGGAAGTTCCTATACTTCAGTAAATTGTTTCTTCTCTTTTAAAGTTTTGAATATTCCAAAAAGTTACGAAGAATGAGCTCTCTTCTTTAAATGGAAAACCACTTTTCAAAAGCGATGCTCTCTAGAGTATTAAATTTCCTTATATGAAGGAGTCGGTTCTACTGGAACTAAAATTATGTGGACATTAAAAAAGATACTAATATGAAATGTTTTTCCAATTGAAATTTTGATGAAACTTGAATTATTTTTTACCCTTGTCGAGCGTTTTTATTAACAACACTACA